AAACAGTCAGTGGGGCTGCTGCAGAGCAGAGACAAAAAGACTACCCAGGAGCCTGACGGATGGCCAGAGCACTCGGGGAGGAAAGCAGGTAGCCGCCAGGATGGCAGCTTCTCAGATGGGGAGAGCTGGGCTGCACCCTCCCTCCCTGGTCATCCAGACAGCTAAGGTTACCTCCTCCTCCCAACGTGCTGTGGCCTATACCTCATTTTCCTCACTTACATTTGCTTTGGTCTCTTCTGAACACTGAGGTGGTGAGCGAACTTGCCCCAAGGTTAAAGATACACAATTAAAGATCCCACCAAAGCTTTCAGGCTGCTCTCTGGGCCTCAGGGTCACAACAACCATCATTCGGTGCACATCCACACCAAAATGAGCAACATGAACTCCTGCTAGCGAGGACAAAGGAGGCACAATTCTCCTAAACCAGATACAAATCTGCCTCTATGTCAGGAAACAATTCCTAAAACAAGAAAGGAGCCGCATTCCTGAAATGTAGACCCTCTAAAACATTTTAAGCCATCTCAATTAACATTTAAGTGAAAAAAACGTTTTCAAATGAAAACCAGTCTCCTATTCAACCAATACCTATCATGTTAATCTGAATCAAAACATGTAACACAAATAAAATGAGTGCAAAAACCAGAACACCAAAGCCTATGACTGGCAAGCCAAACACTCCAGTTTCACCTAGCTGAACAAAGTACAAAAGTAAACAGCAAAACTGATGACAAATGGAAAATACCATGTTTTACCATGTTTATAACCAATACTGTTACTCACCCAACTACAACAGGGCTTACACCTGTTAGTTTTTCACAATGGCATTCCTTTAGGATAGTCCCAATAAGCTGACTCAGCTAACTTAGGGACTTCTGGAAATCATAGATAGATAAAAGAGCCCCACATTAAGCCTCCAAATAGGCCATGGCCTAAAACTGTTTCTGCCTCCTATATACTCAAGGGGTGTGACACACTCTCATAAAAACAGAAGTGTACCATGCAGAGTCTTGAGTACTGAAAGTTCCTACTGGCTGTGGTGGCTCACACCTGTAATCACAGCACTTTAGAAGGCCGAGGTGGAAGTATCACTTGAATTCAGGAGTTTGAAACCAGCCTGGGCAACATAGTGAGACCCCATCATTATAAAAAATAAATAAACAGAAAATTAGCCAGGCATGATGGGGTATACCCATAGTCCCAGCTACTTGGTAGGCTAAGATGGGAGGATTGCTTGAGCCCAGGAGGTTGAGGCTGAAGGTTGAGACTACACTGAGCTGTGATCACACCACTGCACTCCAGCCTGAGCAACAGAGCAAGACTCTGTCTCAAAAAAAAAAAAATAGAAAAGGGAGCTGGTCAGGAGAGGAGCCTGGATGGTTCTCATTCATGAGCCCAGCCCTACTCCCAGGAGGCATGCAGACCTTACTCATACAGAATCAGGCCGGGGGCGGTGGCTCACGCCTGTAATCCCAGCACTTTGGGAGGCCGAGGTGGGTGGATCACCCGAGGTGGGGAGTTCGAGACCAGCCTGACCAACATGGAGAAACCCCGTCTCCACTAAAAATACAAAATTAGCTGGGCATGGTGGCGTATGCCTATAATCCCGGCTACTCGGGAAGCTGAGGCAGGAGAATTGCTTGAGGCAGAGGTTGCGGTGAGCCGAGATGGTGCCATGGCACTCTAGCAGTGGACAACAAGAGCGAAACTCCATCTCAAAAAAAAAAAAAGAATCAAAGAATCTCTGTCAAATGGACAGCCATCAGCCATTTTGAGAGAGCACTAAGGAAGGCTGATCTAAGGTGTATACCTTATTCTGGTCCTTTTGCTGTCTCTTCTGGCAGTTCACTCTCATCCCAAATCTCAACCTTTCCTGCTTCCATTTAAACTTCTTTCTTTTTTGTCCCTACTAAAATCAAGAGCAAGTTGTTATCATACTCCTTGGAATAACTACTCCTCAAATGATGAATTTATTCAGTCTGGACAAGAAATCAGTCACCAAAACTATATTCAATTTATTTTCTAAGTTCTATTTTTGTGCCTCTAATGATTTTTGGTCTAATTCCTGAGCTTTTCCAATTTCTCCACTTCCCTTGTTGACCAGAAGACCTAAACAGCACAGAGACTCTAATAAGAACCTGACCTATGTTGACCTCAATGGAAGGATGCTATTCTATCTAGGACTGACAACTTCTCCAATCCATCTTCTTGGCTTTCGCTGAATCCCATCAGGATCCTGCTACCTGCAAACCTTAAAAAAGCTCTCCCATAAAAAAGGGAGATTTTAAATTGCTATAACAGGTTTCAACCTGCCGTCCCTTTCCTGAAGGTGGTCTTTCCTGAAGGTGGTCTGATGGGTAGTCCAACACAGATGTCTGGCCCCAAACTCACCTTCCCAACTGTTGATCACAGCATTGTAGAGGTTTAATGAAGTCAAGACGCATTACATTTATCACTTGCCCTAGACCGACTCAAATCCATCACTATGTCACAGCAAGAAGTTAGATTGATCTGACAGGATTTGCTCTTCTTCACAAACCCATGTAAGTTATTACTCAGTGCCCCACGCTCTTCTAGCTGTTTGCTGATTGATTATCTGACGATCAGGTCAAGTATCTTCTCTGGAATCACAGTAAACTAACGGGTCTATAATTTCCAAGATCATTCGTATTCTCCTTTTAAAGATAAGCAAGACAGAAAATGCTTCTTCCCGAGTTCTCTAAAGCAACAGCTAATGCTTTGCTAATAATGAACCAGGGCAGCCAATTCCTTAAGTGCCCTTGGAATCACATCATCAGGGTTCATTGATTCTGGAGATAATCTTTAATCAGGCCCAGATCCTGGTAAACAATGTGAAGCCCTAACTCAGCCTGGGTCTAGAAGGTCTTGGTGCCTAAGTCTGGGAAGGAAGTTGGTGACACAAGCTGTTTAAATCTGTACTGCATGATGTCTTCAGCATTGTGATAAATAAATAAATATGTAAAAATAAAGCCCTTGAAAGAGAGATGAAAGGAGACATTGACAGACCAAACTGAGACATGATTCAGGCTTCACCTTCAGGAATATTGGCAGGACCCTCTGCAGGACAAGAAAACAGAGCTACATAATTATCTGAGCTTATAATCTAACCGATAAGGTAAGAAAATACACATATATAAGCAGATGCCAGAAAGCAGTAAATGCCATAACAGAGGTGCCAAGCGATTATGAGGGATCAGAAGAGGGATGAATCCTATGTGACAGAGATGTGTTAGATTTTAGTCTCATGTCCCACTAGGGCTTACCCAGTGACTGAAGTAAAAGAAATAATATGACATATTAAGATTTGGATCCCTGATTCCCAATGTGGGAGAATCTACAAAACCAAAATTCCCAACGTACCACCCAGCTGCCCCCCCACCACACCAGAGAAACTCCAGTAGCTTGGGGAGGCAGGGAAGAAGACTCTACAGTACAGGCAGGAGCAAGAGGCAGAGAAAGTAAGCGTGGCTTGAGTAGCTCCCAAGCTGCACTCCCTTTCACCCAAAGGACCTTCCTTTAGGATATTCTCCTTATCCAGCTCCTGTGTTCCCAGCCCTCAACAGAACTCACTCCAATGCCCCAAAGGCAGACCAATGCATTAAGGGAGTATAGAAAAGAGGAGAGGAGAAAGGGAAAACTAAAGAGGTTGTCATATCTGCTTTATGTAAAATAATCTACCATTCTATCCCTTCCTGAAAAAACCAACCATGACAAATGAACCCAGTTTATCTTTGAATGGACCACACTCCTCCCTACCTTCCAAGTGCCCAATGCTGAGGTCCCCTTCTCTCCCTCCTCCTTACGACTGAAAGTTGTTCCCAGAGCAATATGTCTATGCATCCCCAAATCACAGTCTATAACCTAACCCTGTAGAGAAGAGTTACAGTCCTAGAGCCAGGCATATTCAATGCACCAACACTACAATGAACTGCTACATCAGCCCCCAATCATTCCCTCAAAGCAAACACCACATACTTCAATATCACCTGCAGCTAATCCAAGCCTCCTAGTAGCATTAACTTAAAAGCTAAAAGGTCTTTGAACACAGCTGGTGGCTAATGAAAAAAAGCAAGGAAAGAAATTGTCCTTTCCAACAGACCAACAATGGTACTTACTCAGGTTATCTAATGCTGCATAACAAATCATCCCAAAACTTGGGGCTTAAAACGTCAATAATCATTTGTTATCCCTCACAGTTCCTGTGAGTCAGGAATTTGACCATGGCTCAGCTGGCTGGTCTGGCTCAAAGTCTCTCCTAAGGTTGAAGTCACATGTCCACTGGGGCTGCAGTCATCTGAAGGCCTGACCAGGGCTGGTAGATTCACTTCTAAGAGAGCTCATTCTCATGACTGGCAAGTTGGGCACTGGATTTTGGCTAAGAGCCTCAGTTCCTACATACATGTGCCTCTCCACAGGGCTGCTTGAGTGTCCTGGCAGCATGACAGCTGGCTTCCCCCAGAGCAAGTGGTCCAAAAGAGCAAAGTGGACTGCAATACTTTTTATAACTTACCCTCAGAAGTCATACATTATCTCTTCCACTGTATTCTATTAGCTCTACAGGGATATCTTTGATTCAGTGCAGGAGGGGAACTACCAAGTGTGTGAATAGCAGGAGTTAAGGATCACTGAGGTCATCTTGGAGGCTAGCTACTATAGTATTCCTTAAAGGAACAAGTGGCAGTAGCAGGAGAATGGAGGAAAGAAGAGAACAGAGAAAGGAAGGACGGGAGAGAAGGAAGTATGTTGATTCCCAAAAGCTGAGACCAGAGAAAAACAATGTACCCAGTTCTCTCCAGAGACTTCTCAGGTCTATCTTACACTAGCATACCTGAAACAAGTCCTGCTTCCCAGACAGGAACTCTAAATGAGTAGCTAAAAGACAGGAAGGCATGAGAAAGCTCCTTTCGGTCCCAGAAAGCAAAACTATCCTCCCTCCCTCATTGCCCACCCCACCTTTTCTAAAGCAATGATGGAACAGTTACCTGAGGATGAATCTGTGGCTTGTCGCACGTGGCCTCAAAGTCCAGCACTAAAAAGTAGTGATACCTCTGGGGAGGGAAGGACACCATTGCCGCCATGGATGCGCCAAAGCCGTGGGCCGCCAGCTTTCTGGTGGATATGGAGCAGAACTCCGGAACACCACAGGGAGAAAATAAGTGGGAGCCCAGCACTTTTCTTGCTCTTGAAAGTAAATACGAAGAAAATCGAGCTGCTCCAGTCTGTAAAGGTGCTAGCATTGAACATCCAGAAGCATCTAAAACTTAGGGGAGGAAAGTTTAAAAAAAAAAGAAAGAAAAAAAAGAAAAAAAAAAAAGAACAGAGAGCCTGGGTTACTCCCTCCCACTGTGGCCCTGTTCCATCTAGTCTTCAGGAGTATCCACGCAACATGGGCCACTCCCCAGTGTTTCTGGGCCCCTTTTCTAAATCATAGTATTCGTTACCGAAGTTCAAGACCCTAATAGCAGCACCTGCAGCATTATTACAGCTCTGAGTCTCCCAGATCATTCTCAAAACAACATGCAACACGGGCCTTCATCTTTAAATGGAGCTCTAAAGTTCAAAAGAGAGAAAAGAGAAAAATTGTGCAGTCACTTCTCAGGTGGCAACAGTTAACATTAAAGCTATGGGCCCAAAGTAACATGAGGTGACCCTGTTGTACAATCAGTCCTGGAAGCTAAGTAGACTCAGACAAGCAGCAGAAAATGTCCTAGGATCTTTTCTCAGCTCCACTAGGAGCCATATGCCCCTGGCTTTCCAGTCTGTATCTTGATGTCTCCACATACCCTCCTCCCCTCTCCCAAGGTGAAGGCAAACAAAGCAAATCACAGGGGAGTTTGCTCCCAGCATTCTGGTGATCCCCCAGCCCCCACACTAGTAAGTGGCACCCGGGGGGAATGAACAGTGCCTGGAGAGCACAGCTGGCAACAGCCTTAGGCCTTCTCATTTGCTGCCTTAGACTCAGTCTCTACTAGAGGCCCTGAATGACTGCAGGACTTTTTAAATAGGGAAGAAAAAGAAAACCCAGATGTGGCAGTAATAGGAGCACGGCTAAAAGTCTAGTAAAGTTTTCTGAGTTACATGTGCAAAAAAAAAAAGGAATCACTTTTCCTTTAAGTTTTCCCCTTAAATTTGCAGAATGCCTGCTCCTCAGAGGCCTAACCAAATATAAAAATCAAAGCCTAAGTTTTACTCATGAATATCTCAAACTTCCTTAAAAAGAAAGAAGGAACAAAGCAGAAATGTTGTCTTTCTCCCTTTAATACCCAACATTCAAATTTCTCTCAACTTTAATCCTCAAATAAGAAATCTCACTGTACAATACAGTAATGGCCATAGTTTGTGCTTTCTGAAGCCCCATTCCAACACAGCCAAAGGCTTGCCTCTGATGGCTGCAAGTGGGCACCTGGCTCCCTTCACACAGGGTAGAGGGGATAGCACCCTGTGAAGTCCAGCACATACTCAAAGGCAATTAGGTCACTACCTGAACAGAAGCAGATAATGCCAAGTATGGCTGTCTTCCCATCTCTCTCCTGACTCACTGAATGAGCTACAGTAACTTGCCTATATATTTACTAGGATATACGCTAGCATAGCTCCTCGATTTCCCTATCCCTATAATGAGATTTCAGGGGGATTCAGTGGAGCTAAGACCAAAAAATATTTTAAGTTCTTTGTGGATCCTGCACAAGCACAGCACTTGTTTTCACCACTGCTTTATAGCCTCACCAAAAATACAGCCAAAACTCAGCCCCAGTAGACAAACGCCAGCTTGAGTTTCACTATGGAGTTTCCTGGAAAGGCAAGAGGGCCAATATCCTTTTGAAAGCCAGAATCTTCTCATCACCTATTCCTGAACCGTACTGGAAGCCTTGATGAGATAGGAGACACCGGTCTGCTCAAATTACCCATTCTAGTTTGGATTCAAAGTGCCTCAAGGACTTAGACTCTTCTCTAACCCGATAAAAAAGTGTAAAGACTTCCAAAAGTCTTAATGTTCCACAATGTGCATAGAATATGCATTGTATGTACAGTCAGTCAGATCCTATCTACCAAATACTATAAGCAATTAAGCATGATGAGCAAGAAGGGCTTCCAAGTTTGAATCCTGGCTTTACCACTTACTACCCATGGCACCCTGGCCATGCTGTGTTCTTCAATTCCTCATCTGTAAAATGACAATAACTATAGCACCTATTCCTTAAGTGAGAATACCATGAGACAACACATGCAAAGCATTAAGAGCAGTGTCTGGCATATAAGGGCTTAATATATATTAGCCTAATGTTATTACTACTATCCTATTGGGCTATGCCTAACTGGCCAAGCCTGGATCCCCCAGATTCTGGGCCTACAAATCCAATTAATTCATAAGCCAGCCTCAGAGAGTAGTATCGATGTCTTCTGCAACCCTAAAATGCTCTAGACCTCTGACAGAGCATACTATACATACCCTATTCTGATGGCCAGTGGTTCTCTTGCCTGCAGGCCTTGCTTTTTCACCTGATTTCATCTACATCAAAAAGCTTCTTTTGGTCAAGCACAGTGACTGACACCTGTAATCCCAGCACTGTGGGAGGCTGAGGCAGAAGTATCGCTTGAGCCCAGGAGTTTGAAATCAGCCTGGGAAACACAGTGAGACCCCATCTCTACAAAAAAGAAATTAAAAATTAGCCAGGTGGGGTGGTGAATGCCTGTAGTCCCAGCTACTTGGCAGGCTGAAGTAGGAGGATCGCTTGAGCCCAGGAGGTTGAGGCTGCAGTGAGCTGTGATGACGCCACTGCACTACAGTCTGGGTGACAGAGCAAGACTCAAAAACAAAACAAAACAAAACAAAAAAGCTTCTCTTGTAGGAAGTCTTGAGAGTAGACATTAGGAGGTCAGGCCTCCACATATCAGCAGTTACTGGATTCCACACTTCCCTTACTTCTAACAACCAAGTTCAGTTCAAGTCAAGAAACAGAGGGTAGCTCTTCCTCTCCCCTTCCTGAAAAACTCAATCCTAAAGCCATTAGGTGCAGCAGAAGAGGACAGATATCTGTAACAGGTGGAGTAGGGTGAGCCAGAGAGGTCTGGGGGACACTGTCAGAGCCCAGGCAGGGTGAGGAAGACATCCTTGCAGAGGTGGGAAGGTGTGGTACAGCATGTCAGAACCAAGGGGGTGTGGAGAGCATCCATGTGGGCTGGCAGTCTGATGTGGGGTGACATAGGCAGGGTAAAAGAGGCACTCATGAGGGGTAAAGGGCAGTGGCAGTAACAGGAGATTAGCTACCTACAGAGGAACTGATCAAGGAAGTGCATATATTAAGGATAATGGGACCCGAGTTTCTCACTGTTACAGAAAGCACTTAAAATATGGAAAGGGAGAAAATCTGTGGTGTTGGATTGGAATTGGCAGGAAGAATGTGAACTCATGGTTTTTGATTAGATGTATATCAGATAGACAGATGGATACACACACACAAATATACATACATATGCATATATATTTCTGTTTAAGGAAGAGCCAGGGAGCAGTAACAATGGCAATGAGCACACCTAGCACTCCATTGCCTTCTAGTTTTTTTTTAAGATAGGGTCTTGCTCTGTTGTCCAGGCTGCAGTGCAGTTGCACAATCACAGCTCACTGCAGCCTCGAACTCCCAGGCTCAGGCAATCTTCCCACCTCAGCCTCCCAAGTAGCTTGGACCACAGGCACATGCCACCACATCCAGCTAATACTTTTATTTTTTTGTAGAGATGAGAGTCTCACTATGTTGCCCAGGCTGGTCTCAAACTCCTGGGCTCAAGTGTTCTTCCCACCTTGGCATCCCAAAGTGCTGGGATTACAGGCATGAGCCACAGCACCCAGCCCCAGTTGCCTTCTAAATACCATTCTCCACTAAAAGAAACAGAGGTCCGGCCGGGCGCGGTGGCTCAAGCCTGTAATCCCAGCACTTTGGGAGGCTGGGATGGGCGGATCACGAGGTCAGGAGATCGAGACCATCCTGGTTAACATGGTGAAACCCCGTCTCTACTAAAAAAAAAAAATACAAAAAACTAGCCGGGCGAGGTGGCGGATGCCTGTAGTCCCAGCTACTCGGGAGGCTGAGGCAGGAGAATGGCGTGAACCCGGGAGGCGGAGCTTGCAGTGAGCTGAGATCCGGCCACTGCACTCCAGCCTGGGTGACAGCGCGAGACTCCGTCTCAAAAAAAAAAAAAAAAAAAAAAAAGAAACAGAGGTCCTTGAAGAAATGGCTGATTCCAGGGATGCAGCAAGAGAAATACAAGATAAGCCCATAACATCTTATACCACAAAGCAAGGAAACACCCAAAGAATGATGGGAACATACCAAAAGGATACAGAAGCCACCTACTGGCCAAGAAACAATGATAGTAATGGATTATAATGCACTGAATAGAAAACCATGAGTCCATAAAGATATAAATCAATAAATTAAACTTTGATGTGAGATATTTACATAGTTTCAAAGTATCTCCCCAAGAAATACTTATTAATTACAACGAGGAGTAATTTTATGATGGAGAAGCCTGGCAGACATCACCTTAATCAAGTGATCAAAGCGAACATTATCAATAATGGGATAAATCAAAATCATGTAACGAAAAGAACAAAGCATCATTTCTGATACATTCCTGAAGATACACAACCTAAATCTAATCATGAGAAAATGTCATACAAACCCTAATTGAGAGACAATCTAAACAATAACCAACCTATAATCTTCAAAAGTATCAAGGTCATGAATGCCAAGGAACGTTTACTGAGGAAAGTCTAAAGGAGACTAAAGAGACTTGATAACCAAATGCAACCCACAATTCTGAACTGGATCATTTTGCTGCAAAGAACATTCCTAGGACAACTGGCAAGACTTTAATGGGGTCCGAGGATTATATAGAGGTTTTGTATCAATGTTAATTTCCTGATTTTGATGGTTGTATTGTGACTAGGTAGGAAAATGTCCTTGTTTATAGGAAATGCACACCAAGTATTCAGGGTGATGGGGTATTAGGTCGGCAATTTAACCCTCAAATGGTTCAGGGAAAAAATTCCTTCTACTGTACTTACAACTTTTAAGTAAATTTGGGCTGTTTCAAATTGTTTTTCAAAATTGCTTTTTAAAATCAGCTGGGTGGGGTGGGGTGGCTCACACCTGTAATCCCAGCAGTCTGGGAGGCCAAGGCAGGCAGATCGCTTGAGGTCAGGAGTTCAAGATCAGCCTGGGCAACATGGCAAAACCCCATCTCTCCTAAAATTACAAA